TCTAGTCTATAGTCTAGTCTATAGTCTAGTCTATAGTCTAGTCTATAGTCTAGTCTATAGTCTAGTCTATAGTCTAGTCTATAGTCTAGTCTATAGTCTAGTCTATAGTCTAGTCTATAGTCTAGTCTATAGTCTAGTCTATAGTCTAGTCTATAGTCTAGTCTATAGTCTAGTCTATAGTCTAGTCTATAGTCTAGTCTATAGTCTAGTCTATAGTCTAGTCTATAGTCTAGTCTATAGTCTAGTCTATAGTCTAGTCTATAGTTTAGTCTATAGTCTAGTCTATAGTCTAGTCTATAGTCTAGTCTATAGTCTAGTCTATAGTCTAGTCTATAGTCTAGTCTATAGTCTAGTCTATAGTCTAGTCTATAGTCTAGTCTATAGTCTAGTCTATAGTCTAGTCTATAGTCTAGTCTATAGTCTAGTCTATAGTCTAGTCTATAGTCTAGTCTATAGTCTAGTCTATAGTCTAGTCTATAGTCTAGTCTATAGTCTAGTCTATAGTCTAGTCTATAGTCTAGTCTATAGTCTAGTCTATAGTCTAGTCTATAGTCTAGTCTATAGTCTAGTCTATAGTCTAGTCTATAGTCTAGTCTATAGTCTAGTCTATAGTCTAGTCTATAGTCTAGTCTATAGTCTAGTCTATAGTCTAGTATAGTCTAGTCTATAGTCTAGTCTATAGTCTAGTCTATAGTCTAGTCTATAGTCTAGTCTATAGTCTAGTCTATAGTCTAGTCTATAGTCTAGTCTATAGTCTAGTCTATAGTCTAGTCTATAGTCTAGTCTATAGTCTAGTCTATAGTCTAGTCTAGTCTATAGTCTAGTCTATAGTCTAGTCTATAGTCTAGTCTATAGTCTAGTCTATAGTCTAGTCTATAGTCTAGTCTATAGTCTAGTCTATAGTCTAGTCTATAGTCTAGTCTGTAGTCTAGTCTATAGTCTAGTCTATAGTCTAGTCTATAGTCTAGTCTGCTAGTCTAGTCTATAGTCTAGTCTATAGTCTAGTCTATAGTCTAGTCTATAGTCTAGTCTTATAGTCTAGTCTATAGTCTAGTCTATAGTCTAGTCTATAGTCTAGTCTATAGTCTAGTCTATAGTCTAGTCTATAGTCTAGTCTATAGTCTAGTCTATAGTCTAGTCTATAGTCTAGTCTAGTCTATAGTCTAGTCTATAGTCTAGTCTATAGTCTAGTCTATAGTCTAGTCTATAGTCTAGTCTAATATAGTCTAGTATATAGTCTAGTGTATATTATATTACATAGTCTAGTTTATAGACAGTCTATAGACTAGCTGAAAATTAGTTTAGAACTTTAAAACCTCAAATATAGTAGTACAAGTTAGTACCATTTTAAATTTCCATTTTCCATGCCTGAGTTATACTAGTCTTGTAGTAAATGAGCGATATTATTTAGATAGTAAAAACATACATATTTACATTAGTAGTACATATTTCAGTTGCTCTTGGCAATATTAAGGCTATTATTTTAAACAGTTAAATGCATATTACAGTTATTTATTTATTTATTTAAATTCAATATAGTTTATTATAATAATCTATATTTAGTTTGTTTACAGTTAATATAATAATTTAATAAAAGATTAAATTAATACGTAATTACGTACCGTTTAGTATAGACAAACAAATTTCTAATGAAATCAATAAAATCTATAAAACAGACAAGCGGTCGACCGGTCAGTCCATCTATCAATTAGTTTTGTTTTATTTTTTTTTTTATTATTAACATTCTCTTTATTAAATTGTTCATTTGTATAACTATAAATTTTAAATTCATCACGATACGTTCAGTTTTTGGGAAATTCTAAACCTTTAAGTTCACCATAGATTTCAATTTGAATCTATAGATATAGGTAATTATTTTCAGTTTGCATTTACAATATTTGTTCTTGTTCCGGTTCAAGTTGTTTTAACAATTATTTATTAATTGTTTATAGTGTAATACGATGACGTTTTTTATTATAATAAAATAGACTAAAATAGACTCTAATTAGCGACGTCATATGTGGCTTAACTTAAGTAATAATGTTAGAGTTATATTCTTTGGTTAGAGTAATAAATCAAAATTTTTAAATTGTATTTATAGTTTTTTTTTGAGGTAAGGCTTGCGGATAAACAATATATTAATGTCAATAGAGATTGTTGTCAGTGTTAAAAAAAAATCCCCTTATTTTTAGCAGTTCTTAGGTGTTCTAACCGGGAGATAGATTTGTACTAATTGATTCAAACGAAATAGCTGCAAGACTTACTAGAAGATGAAAAGAGAAGAAGCTGCTTATCTATATATGTATCTATTTATCTATCTATCTATCTATCTATCTATCTATCTATCTATCTATCTATCTATCTATCTATCTATCTATCTATCTATCTATCTATCTATCTATCTATCTATCTATCTATCTATCTATCTATCTATCTATCTATCTATCTATCTATCTATCTATCTATCTATCTATCTATCTATCTATCTATCTATCTATCT